AAAAAATATCATTTGAATGACGATTTGAAATTTTAATAAAAAAAAAAAAAAAAAGAATGACGATTTGAAGTTAATTTTTTTTTTCATACAACGTTATTAGAAATGATGTTTTTAAAATCGTCATTTATAATGACATTTTTTATCATAAAATTTTTAACGGTAGTTACCAATGTTAAAAAAAATAAAAGAGTTAAAACGTCTTTTACAATTGCGTCTTTAAAGGCATCATCGCAATGACGATATAACGTTAAGTCAGACCAGTTAAATTTCAAAAGTCAAATTTTTCAAACATCTCAACTACTCAGCCCTCCTCCTCCTCTGACGACTCTTACCTCTCCTCCTCCTCAACCACGCTCAGCCAACTCCACCAGAGAGCAAAGCCTCCACCAGCAACTTCAACAAATGTATGATATTTTTGGTTGTTGTTTCAGGTGGTTTTCTTTTAGATCAAATATATCTGCGATGGAGTTATGGGTTTTGGTGGTTTTCTGTCATGTTTGGATCTGGGTTCAGTTTCCTTTTTCTCAAGTATTCCTTGGTGGATTTGTTTTTAATGGATGAGATTTTAGAGATATAATATTGAGGATTGATAATAATTGGAAAACCTGGTAAAATTACAGGTGAAGTGTTTAGTTTTATGTGATTGGTGTTTTTGACAAACTTTAAAATTTAAATCTTTCCCAATCTGTAACAATTTGTGGAAAAACTGTGAACATTGAATTCTATGTGGGTGTTACTTATAAATTAAAAGTCATGGACAAGGCTTCTGAAACTATCAGTAGCTGAATCTAAATCTGATCGTTTCGTTTTACTTGGGCATGTAGGTTCTTTCTTTTCATTCATTCTATCATGTTATGTCCTTTATTCTGTAATTGTAAATTGTTGACTTAACCCTCAAGTTAAGGTTTAGATTGTGGATTTACAGATATTGTCCATCTAAACCCCATATCACTCTTTCATTGGGACTACTGGGGTTATGTAGGAAACGAATGTTCATCTGATCTGCTTTAGATCTGATGTTTCATACTTCTAGTTTGTGAGAAGGTCAATGATTCATTAGACACAAATAACAATCAACCCTGGAAACATTGCATTCTTAACTGAGTTTTGTCGTAGTCATCGTGTTTAATTGGTTGAGTTGAGTGAAATAGATTTACTTCCTTGTTGCATGATGATTCGCTGGTCCTACTTAAATCTGTTTTGGGTTTTTTGTAATTGCCCATGGCCTTGTCTGAGTTATGAAGTTGATAGAAGTTTGTGGGGTTTTGCAGAAAACGAGCAGCTTCAGGTTATGAAGTTGGGATTAATTTGTACCTCTGAAACCCCTTCGAGGAGACCAAACATGGCTGAGGTTGTTCAGATTCTTGAGTCCATCAGGAATGGATTCTTTTGTATTCATTTTGGGTTTTTACCATTTTCATTGTTCCTTGTAATTTCTGCAACAAGTTCATTGATTGTTTGTATCCAATTTGCAAATAGAAACCCACCATTTGGGAACTTTCAGTTAACATTCGCAAACTTCTGTTGCCTCCGGCTTTTGACTCATATAGGGAAAACACGACCTCTCCCCCAGATAACAAAAGGAAAACCAATTGGACATTGTATGCCAAAATGGGAAACATGGAGTCAAGCGAAGAGGAGTTTGGACTACCTAACAACCTATTATTGTTGGCATTACGTGATGGTTTCTGTCAACGGATTCATCCAACAGAAATACCCATCAAGAAAATCTACCAACTGTTTTTCTAAAAGCATTGACTATGAAGCCTTCAACTGTTGATCAAGCTTCCATTCTTACCTAATTTGAATAACGAAAGTTCATTCACTCCACCGTTACCTTGATTAATCCCCAAAAGTTCATTCTATACAAACAAGAAGCAAAAAGTATTGTAATTCATACAGTTTGATGCTTAAAAATGTCAAATATAATAAAAAAAATAAAATGCAATTGCATTGTTGTAATTCATTTACATATTGAATTGCTAAATACAAGGAAAAAGTATTGTACAAAATCTTGTGGGGGACAAGGATGGCTCAAGGTAATTTGAGGCCTAAAACGGTAATTTATTTTGAGGTCTTTTTATTTTGTGTTAAAAATTTTGATTAAAATTAATTCTTTTCATTTTTTGAGTTGCAAAAGTATAAATTGAGTTTTTATATTTAAATTTTGTTATCATATTTTTTTTTCATTGATAATATCGCTAATCTAATTATTATTTTTTTGTGATAGTCAATTTTAAATAAAATTTTATTGATTTTAATTTTGAAAAGCTTCTTTTTGTAGAAGTAACTATTATAAAAATTAATAATAATATTTTATAAGAAATGCATACATTTGAAGGAAAAAATCTAATGTTTTTATATAAATTGGTGTCTCAATTGGAATATTTTCTTTCATTTATAAAATCTGTTTTAAAATATTTATTTTTAAAAAAAATCTAAACTATCAATGTCGAAAAAATTGTTAAGTATTAAGAAACATCCGAAATCAAGATAAATTTTTTTAAACTATCAGCATTTAATAATTTTATTTTTTAAGTTAAATAAACAATCAAAAAAAATTCTTTATTTGAAATTGATATGAAGAGTGAGAATAAAAATGAGAGGGAGGGGCTTTATAGAAAGAGAGAGAGAGGAGATGTGGTTAATAATGAATAGGTGAATTATGACTTGACTTTTGAGTATACCATCAGTTTTTTTAATAAAATTTTAATTTTTTAGGTTTTTATTATTATTGGATGAATTATGAGTTCAAAAAATTATTAAAATAAAAAATTTTGATTGATCTTAAATTTTAACTAAGGATTTTTTGTAGAACTTATAATTTTCATGAACTTAAAATTCTAAAGTAGGCCAATTATTTACCTAAAATTATGGGGCCTAGAGTCTAAGTTTTTTTGCTTCTATAGTTGGGCCGGCCCTGAGAACAAGAGCGATAATTATTAGGCCGAAGGAGAAAGTGAGGCTACGAAACTGATTTCGGTGTAGACTAAGCGTGCATTGAAGTATCCAAATATCAAAATAGGAGAAAGACTTTTAAGTACAAATCCATTATTGAACTTGTCTACAATTACATTGGGTTACAATGTAGAGTTTGGTCCTAACCATTGTTTGTTTGTAAATTTTCGCCCACCTAGAAATTTTCCATGGTGTTTGTTATCCTCAGGATATTTATTTTAATTGGTCATACCTTAACCTCAAAATCATTTATTGTTGGCATTATGACATAAAGCATTTCAATCAAAGTCTGAGAGTAATTTCAATCCTTACCATTTTTCAAATTTGAATTTAGGTAAAAAAACAAAAGTTTCTCTAATCTTATACCCAAATTCATACCAAATCAAGAAAGACTTAAATCTTCAATTGTTATATTTTATTCTCTTTTAAAAATCTAATAGTCATAGTTTAACCTTATTTAAATTCGAGTTTCTGCATTGGATTGCATTGTATGAAATTAAATTTTTTAGTCAAATGTTGACTCAAATTTACAAGGTTGGAGATGTTTTAAGATAAAACATTTTAATTTTGAGCTATGACCAAATGACATTCAATGAAATGCATTAGAAACTAAAACCCAAATTCCATATTAAACTCAACTTAGTCAAACATAACAATGTGTTAATAGTGATGACTAACTAAATTGGATAGAAATTATTTGGCATTGAACAAAACCTGTTCCAAATTGTTAATCTTTTCTTCACAAAAGTCCATCTGGGTAACCCCACATCATAATTAAGTTACCCAACCAAGCTTCGCATCTCGGATTAAGAGTGCATTCTACACATCATCTTCTTTAATGCGTTATATCGGAGATACATAGGCTGTCTAGTCTCACTATCTTGTGCCACTGTCCCGTGTCACTGGACTGAAGAAGCACCTCAGAGTATAATGATATTTTTATGTTTGATTTCCAATTTGTCCTTTAAAACCAAATAAAATAAGGCTTGGACATCATGACTTGGTTTTCTTCTAAAATGGACTCGGCCACTGAAAACACCAATTTTTTTTTTGGTTGTTAAGGGCATTTTCAATCTTCAGCCAAACTCATAAATTTGAGTAAAAACAGGGTAGAAACAACTCATAGTCCTTTTTTCAAATTCATACTAAATGAAGGAACACTCAATTTTTTTTACTCAAATCAAGGGAATCTTAGATCTTTACTCAAATTTTAAGTAGTCAAATTTTATTCTCTTTAAAAATTCATTAGTCATATTTTATCAACATTTAAATTTGAGTTTGTCATCTTTTAACATTGAATACCCCATTGCAGTATTTTTTATGAAATCAAACTTTTTATTCAAATTTTAGTAAAAAATTAAGTCAAACACTGACATATTTAAGGTTGGGATAGTAGGGGCAGTTGCCCCCACTCCAATTTTAAACTATTTTGGGCTTCATATGAAAATTTGAAAATTATTTAGGATTTGCCCCATTAAAAAGTTTGCAAAAAAAAAAAAATAAGAGGCAAGTCTTTATAGATATGGATATAGAAAATTTGGATTCGATTGTGATCCGATATGATTACATATACCCATATATACATATATATTAATTAAAATTGAGTTCTTATTTAACGATATTGTGTAAAAATTAAATGTAATGTTTTAAAATTCATTCCTAATTTAATCATTTAGATGAAAATAATTTTTTTTAAAGGATTTGATATGAACTTTAAAACTTAGGTTCGTTGAATAATAAGAGCGAAGTTTTTAAATCGGATTCGAATGAATTAATATTTTATGGAAATCTTATCGTTAACAAGCATACTAATGATTTATTTGTGAGGCGCAACAAGTATTGATAATGAAACTTAAAATTTTATCTTATGCTTGGGGAACTAATTCAGAGATTTAATTCAATACAGTTATTAAATTAGCTGTCAGCTTCAATGTCAGATTAAGTTAATTTTTAATCGTACAATTATAATTGATTAAGTCCTCAAAAAAAACAAATAACATTTTTCTATGTACTATGATTCAATCTTCATCTGAGTACATAATAAAATTCAAACTTAATTGAGTAGTCAAAACAGAAAGCTTGTTTAATTCGTTTGAAGCAATTTAAGAGTAACTTCATTAGCCATTGGGGAAAATGTTATTGTAGTTAATCTAAAAATCTAATCAATTATAATCTTCGAGATAAAAATAAATCAATTATAATTGTTGAATTAAAAAATGGTTTTCATCAAGCTCATAATTTAGGGAATGAAGGATAGTGGAGACTGGATTCTTAACGGGTACCAATATTCAATTGACTCCACTATAAATCTGATGGTTATAACACATTAAGTCTCAAATTATATCCCTATAACATTAGTGTTGTTATGAGCAATGTTATTTGAATCTAATTTATAAGACTTATTTATTTATATTTATTGAATTGACGATGAACATCAGTATTTGTTGGAATCAACAATCAATCCTATAATCATGATGAATTAGGTTAATAAATTCAAAATTATTAATTGTTGACTTAATTGAGAGTGCACCGTCAATTGATTTGTCAGCTTGACGTTTTCCACGCCCACTATCTTTGAAATGGAATGTATGCGATATTCCCTTTACTAGAGAATATTTGTTCATTAGAGTCAGACATTGTCCCTCTATCCCTTGGCCATGTGGCGTGACTTGGGTTACTTGAGGCTGGTCTTGTGCGGAGTTCCTTATTCTCGAGCAAGTACATGTCGTTGAGCTTGCTGGGACCGAGCTGACATATATCTTGAGTTGGACGATCCTGAGCTTCTACAACCCTGGGCTATGGCACAGTCCCATTATATGGTGGGCGCTATTTAGATGGGCCATTTGGGTTGTTCTTTAACGGATCCACTGGGTGTTTTAGGCTTTAAGTAAGCGACTTAAGCTTAAATTCATCACCATCACTTCTAATAAATTATGTTAGCAAATAACATCCAAATAATGGTGTTATAAATGAGTTAGGTCCTGATTAGGTTTGACATAATTGCTCCCACTGAAAAAGTAAGGTAAATTGATTGATAATTGAATGGTAAATATTAAATATTGCTACCATTGAAAAAGTAAGGTAAATTGATTGATAGTTGAATGGTGAGTACAAGCTCGGAATATTTTTCACTTTGTATGTGGTGCAAAGCTAATCACCACTTTGACTAAAGTACAAAAAACGGATTGAGTGGGTGGTGAGTAAACATTGAAGATAAGATTTAGACGACGGATTGAGAGGGTGGTAAGTAAGCATTGAAGATAAGATTTAGATGAATTGAATTTAGGGTGAATCGATGGTTGGTGACGGTGGTCAAAGGGACTCCGATGTTTAAATCAGATCGTGAGTAAAAAAAATATAAAATGAATAGGTCAAGATTAAATTAAATTACCTAATATTCGTGGCCTTTATTTATAGTAGTAGTAAGATATGTGGTAAAAAAACTTGAGTTGTTGGTTGATTGTCTAAACTCTGTCACCAAGTCCCACCAAGTCCAGTAAGTACATGGTAGAATTTAATTAGCACTTTGAGCCCTCGATCCTAATCACCAATCCCTAATTGCTAGAAGAGAGAGAGAGAGAGAGAGAGAGAGAGAATGGACGTGAACGAAGCAATTTTCATGAACGGAGGAGAAGTAGAATCAAGCTATGCTCAACACGCATGGTTTGCGGTATGCTCTATTTTCCATACATCAACTCGTTCTACTTTCCAAACATCAAGTTATTTTCTTCTGTTCAAAAACGAAAATCATTCACAAACAGAACTTAGTTTGTAAGAAAACTTCATTCAAA